CCACAGCACTTACTACTCTGGAATCGTGTGTGCATGCAACAGACACAGCAGAGCACCATGGTTAAGAGGGGCCTTGCAGCCAGGTTTCCTGAGTTCAGATCCTCATACGTCACTCACAGGATGCATGGCCTCAGGCAGGCTACTCACCTTCCTGCGCCCCCATTTCTCATCTGCAAAATGGGCATAATAATGATACCCACGCTCTCAGGTTGTTGTGAGGATTGAATGACCTACTGGGAATAGAGGGCTTCAGTGAGTGCCTGATGGCTCTGCAATAGTTGTAACTAACACCTTCACTATTATAGTCAATAATACTCTAGTATGTGAATTGCAGTACATATTGTAATAATGATGCCAATATTCTGGCTATTATTATTATCACTGTCATTGTTTGATATGATCAATGTCTATCTCTCCCATAAGTGAGCTCCATGGCAGCAGTAATTGTCCTGTGTTGCAGTTGGCACATAGTAGATGCTCAATAAATACTAATTGACTGACTGAACAAAGCAATGAAGGCACAAGTGAGTCCACCTGCTCGTTTGGTGCTGCTACCAGATGGCTCCTCCAAGCATGACTCTTTATGCCAAGTCTCCCCTGCCACTGAGCAGCCGTGGGTCCCACAGTGATGCCCCCAAGTCCTTGGCATTCGGGTCCAACCATTTTCCCACACAAGGTCCTTAATTCTTCTTCCCGCATAACTAACCCATGCAAGGCTTTCCAATAGGCTCCCTCTTTCCCACCTTCGATCCTTTTTATGATAAATAATATTCCGTTGTAAGGCTATACCACAGTTTGTTCATTCATCAGTTGATGGATGTTGAGGTTGTTTCCACTTTCTGGCTGTTATGAATAATGCCGCTATGAGCATTCATGTCCAAGTTTTGCATGGACATATATTTTTGGTTCTCTTGGGCATATACCTAGGGCAGGAATTGCTGGGCCGTGGGGTAGCTCTATGTTCACCACCCATACGTCTCTGTGTAGCTGCTACTGCTGTCCCAGAAAGAGAGGCTCTGAGAGGAGCTGACATTTCTGGGATGGGCTCCAGGTGGTAAGCAGTGAGCTAATACTTGTACCAAATCCTATGGCTTCCGCTACAGTCCCTGTGTCACCCCCCTACCCTCCACCCACGGTGGCCTACAAGGGGGCAAGCCTCTGCCCTGCCCCAGCAGCTGCTGACCATGTGTCCTCAGAGGGGCCAATGGCCCCTAGAAGCTGGACAAAGCCACCATCCGCAGTCCTCATGGCTTCCTGCATACCGTGTCACCTCCTTGGTTCTGGTAGTTCTTGACAGCCATCCCCACCCACGCCTGGCCCAGATGCCGTGTCTGCTTCGTTCCACCACAGTTTGCAACCAACGAGTGAAGCAGTTGCTGAAGCCACATACTTAGAAAATTTGCCACCAGCTTATGAAGCCTGTGTAACCTGGCGCATTATCGCCAGAGGGGTCACTGCGTTTTGTAGGTGCAGAGGAATTTCCGATAGTCCCAGGAGTGTTTTTTAGTCACAGACACAGTAGTGAGGGGACTTTGCTCGGGAGACAAGAGGAGTCTGCTAGGCAGCATGAAGTTACGCACCAGTCCCTGGGCAACCAGGCAGCTGCTGAGGGTGTTCCTAATGGGGGCCCCAAAGCACAGGAGACAGTGCCCTGGCTTTGTAAGCGAAGGAGCTGTTGCTGCACAGCCCAACCTCACCCCGCACTTGGTACTCAGCTGCAGCTCACCAGGGCTTCCTTCCCGCATGCCTCACCCCTGCCTTTCTTGGCCTGGTTCAGATGCCCTATGGTGAGAGCCACAGTGTCCCCTCCCTCCCAGGTAACCCTGTAGAGCTGTGTCTGCCCAGGGGTGGGTGGGGGGCAGTGAAGCAGAATGCTTAGGAGCACAGATATGGGTCTCCCGGGCCCCCCAGGGATGGGATGATGGGTGATCCTTGGGTGGGTGGGTGGGTTGATGGTCCCTCTTCCTGCTTTTCTGCAAATTCCACTGGAATCCTCACTTGAATACTTTCAAACAGGGTGTTCTTGGGCCTCAAGTTCCTTGAGTGTGGAACTCGGATCATAATGCCCACTTCACCCTGGTTACCGTGAGGTTTAGTGAGCTAAGATTCTTCAATCACTTATGGCACTAGCTAAACACTCACTAGATGGTATTACTGTCACTGCTGTGTTTGTATGTGCTCATAGGTGCCAGCTTGGCCTCTGATTCTGCTCATAACAGTTGCTCATGTTCAGTGACTTGTGACCTCCCTCAGGGCTCTGGGTTTTCTGGTGGTGGTGGTGTTTTGTGGTAGGTAATTCATGTAGCATAACACTCACCATTTTAAAGTATACAATTCAGTGGTTTGTCTTTTTGTTTTTTATTTATTTTTATAGAGACAGGGTCTTACTCTTGCTCGGGCTGGTCTCGAACTCCTTAGCTCAAGCGATCTTCCTGCCTCAGCCTCCTGGAGTGCTAGGATTATAGGAGTGAGCCAGCACACCTGGCCTACAATTCCTAGTGGTTTGTAGCCTATTCACAAAGTTGTGCAAACTTCACCACTCTAAGTCCAGAACATTTTTACCTCCTAAAAAACAAACCTTGTACCCATTAGCACTCACTTCCTAGCTTCCCTGCACCCAGCCTTGGCAACTGCTAATCTTCTTCCTGTCTATGCCATGGCTTATTCTGGACGTGTAAACAGAATCATAACGCATGTGGCCTTTTGTGACTGGCTTCTTCCACTGAGCGTGTCTTCAAGGTTCACCCACGTTGTATATGTTCGTCCATTGATATATGTTATATCAGTACTTCAATCCTTTTTATGATGATTTTCTATTGTAAGACTATACCACATTTTGTTCATTCATCAGTTGATGGGCGTTGAGGTTGTTTCCACTTTCTGGCTGTTACGAATAATGCCGCTATGAGCATTCATGTCCAAGTTTTGCATGGACATAGATTTTTGGTTCTCTTGGGCATGTACCAAGGACAGGAATTGGTGGGCGGTGCAATAGCTCTATGTTTGACTTTTTGAGGAATTGCCAACCTGTTTTCCTCAGGGCTCTGTTTCAGAAGGACCCTTGCTGCTTAGATTTGACTTTGTGCTAGCTAAAGAAGAGGGTCATTGGCAGAGGCAGGGGAAGGAGGAAGTCTGGGAGCCTGTGGCGCCTTCAGCCATCACCAGCCCAGGCTCCATCCTCCTGGAGAGCCAACAGGAGGTGCCACCACGCGATGTGCCTTCCTCCCTCGCTGTGTCTCCTTCGCTGACCACATGCTTCGTATTCTCCCTGCTCTGAACCACGCCACCCTCTCACCCTGCGCCCTGCTCCTTCTGGGAGGTGTCTGGTCCCAGAGGCCTCGACGGGCCAGTCTGCTCCGGAATAGAATACAGCTGAGGCTGAGCTACCCACTCGTTTCGCCAGTGATCTGGAAATGTTCCGACCCATGAGCAGTGTCATTTCAGAGTCCTGGGGGAAGGAAGCCATCCAGAGAGATGTCCTCCTCACACTTCTCCACTTCTTAGGAATAAATGAGTCCAAGTGAGGGGAAAACTCATCAGCCACATGAACTTGAGAACATCCCTTAGCTTCTCTGAGACTTAGTTTCTTCATCTGTAAAATGGGTTTAATAATTGCCTACTTGATAAAGGGATTAAGTGAGGTGCTGTGGACAAAGCACCTGATACCATGCTCTAGAAGATACTAAAAAAAATGTTCCTTTCCTTTCCTCGCCAGCTGCCCTCCCTCCGAGTCAGATATGCCTGGCTTATGCAGACACTGGTTTTTCAGTACCATCCACCCCCTTCCCCTTCTTTGTTTCCTTTCACCTCTTCTCCTCTCCCCCTGCTGCTGCTGGTTTACTCTGCCCTCAGCTCTTAACCCAGCATGGGGGTTCTCATAACGTAGACCCAGAGAACTGCCAGTTCTCGAATCACCGATGTGCTCTCCGCGAGGCAGCTCAGGCCAGATCCTCTTAGGGCGGATCAGATTATGCCCCGGGTCATTTTGCAGCACGGATTCCCAGGTCACGGTGGTGGCATGCACGGCCAGGTGGCATCCAGCCTGGCACCCCCTGGGTCCCCAGGGAACGTCCCCGGAGCGGGTGGTGTGGTCTGGTTTCACCTGTCAGCCTCCCTGGGATTCAGTTTCCTTCCCCAGGAGATCCTAGCCAGGGGCTAGAGCTTTGAGTTACACTTGGATTTGAAGTCATCCAAGAGGCCTGCGCTGTGGGAGGGAGCGCAGGCTTCCTCCACACTGTGTGCTGGGCCTGACCGTGTGCCGGGCGCTGCGCTGGACGGGAGCGCGCAGAGGAGAGGGGCACACACCTGCCGAGGGGCCCGAGGGCCAGGTGAGGCGTGGAGGACAGTGAACACGTGAACGGGTAGTTTTCCAGGCTGAGGGTTTCATGCTGCATCAGTTACTATTTTAAAACAACTTTATATATAACAAAAGATGGCATGGTTAATACAGAAAGTTTAGGAAATGGAAAAACACGAAGGGACTAAAACCATACTCCCATCATCTCTAAGATGAGTTTCTTCCCAAGTGCCAGTTAACTCAGAAAACTGAAAAGCAAAGAAACCAGAATGCTTCGCTAGGAAATATCAATTACGAGGCAATAGGGGCTCTGTTCAGGGACCTGACTCCGGGGCCAGGGGCATTCCCTGGCCGTGTCTCTCAGGGCATCCCCTCTAGAATGGGGAGGTAAAGCTCTTGGGAAAATCCTTCTCTCGTCAAGGAATCAGTCCACATAGAAAGTTCTCTTGCAAAAAAGCCAAGACTCTAAGCCGCCTGGTGAGGCTAGGCTTCTGTAAGAACCGACCGGCACGTGCACACACACAAACCTAGCTCTGTGCCCGCCCCCCCCGGCTGCCGAACCCCTTCTCCGAGGAGATGCCTTCACACCACCTTTCCCCACCGTTCCTGTTCCATGTGTTGGATGATTCCAAGGCCGTGTTGGGAGATGGCACCTCCCTGCTCAGGCCAGTGACCCCTGATTTGCTTTCTCTCTCGTTTCCAGCTGTCAGGAATGACAGGAACAAGAAAAAGAAGGAGCCTTCGAAGCAAGAATGCACAGAAAGCTATGAAATGACAGCGGAGCTGGACGATCTCACAGAGAAGATCCGAAAAGCTCACCAGGAGACTTTCCCCTCGCTCTGCCAGCTGGGCAAATACACCACGGTAAGAGACGCTCCTGCCCCAGGCAGCTGGGACAGTGGGCACGGGCCCTTGCACGAGCGCGCGTGATTGTGTGTGTGTGTGTGTGTGTGTGTGTGTGTGTGTGTACAGACATACACACACTCCCAGACTCTTTGTCCTGGGCCTGGCAGGGATTTCCACCCAAACTCAGCCCAAGACTTGCATTTCAGCCGAATGGGGCCCATGCAGTGACCACTTCCCTCTATGGCAAGGGCTTTTGGCAGGCACTGAGCAGGATGAGTGTTTTCTCAATTCAGCTATACGCACATGCGTCCACTCAAGATGCACTAGGTGAGCACTTAATACACGCCAAGCCTTGTGCTAGGCACTGGCACCATGAACTATTAATATTTGCTGCGGCTCTCAGGGACTTTGATCTGGTGAAGGAGTCAAGTGACACTGGTGAAGTATTGCATGGGTCACGGCAGACACCTGTACAGAGGGGACCCAGGGAAGCCAAGGTGGGGGACAATCTTTTGAAAACACCAATCCAGCTGTAAAATCCAGCCAAGATGGTCAAGGCCATCCCCTGGGCCGGGGTCTGCCCTCAGTGAGAGGATGTGGGTAAAACCCCTAACAGCACCTAGAAAAGCTGAGGGCAGCCGTGACCTGTCCCCCGTTGGGTGACTGCTCCCCAGCCTTCTGCTTTCACTGAGATCAGATCTAAAGGGAAGGGGAGAAAAGAGAAAGTGAGATAAAGAGGTAGGAGGCATGTGGTGTCTGGTCTCGGTTGTGCTGGTAGAGATGTCACGCACGAGGTGCTTTAATTTTTTGAAGTGGATTTTTCATGTATTGTGTTCACTGATGTATATTCCTAGTTTATGGCACATAATAGATAATCAATAGATATTTGAAGAATGAATGAATATAACTAGACTGTTGTTCTGGCCTCTTTATTTTTTTATTTTATTATATTTTATTTTTTTGAGACAGAGTCTCACTTTGTTGTCCAGGCTAGAGTGAGTGCCATGGCATCAGCCTAGCTCACAGCAACCTCAAACTCCTGGGCTCAAGCGATCCTCCTGCCTCAGCCTCCCGAGTAGCTGGGACTACAGGCATGTGCCACCATGCCCGGCTAATTTTTTCTATTTTTGGTAGAGACAGGGTCTCGCTCTTGCTCAGGCCGGTCTTGAACTCCTGAGCTCAAACGATCCGCCCGCCTCTGCCTCCCAGAGTGCCAGGATTACAGGCATGAGCCACCATGCCCGGCCTGGCCTCTTTAAATAGCTTAGGTTGCTTACCTAAGATACTATAGTAAACATACTTTTTTAAAAAAAATCCAAATATCACAACATTTGCTGGTTTAGGGGCTGGTGTGGCAGCAAAAGAATAGCGTGAAAGATGCTGAAGATTGAAAAGGTGAAACGGTGATGCCAGAGAGAAAAGAGAACAGCGAGTGGAGGGGCTTTGAGGCAGCTCTTGGGGAGCACATGGTGTCGTGTGTTAGGATGTTGGTGGGACGGGTGACCGGGACGAGGCCCACGGCGTGGCCTGTGCGGACTGGCGTGAGCGCAGGCTGGAGCAGCCTCTCCGGTGAGCGTGAGGCTGCAGGGCTGGGTGGCACCAGCTTCTGATGGGCTGGTGTCTGCACGAGACAGTCAGGCCTCTGGGCCAGACCTTGGGCTCACCTGGAAGCAGAGGAAGAACCTTGAGCCGTGCTTCCCCACGCGCAGTGCGCACCTGGAGCGCCTGCAGACTTGTTAAAATGCAGGTTGGGGGGCGGCAGGCATGGCCCGGGCTGGGGGCTCTAACAAGCTTCCGGTGCTGCTGCTCTGCAGACCACACTCTGAAGAGCAAACGAGCTGTGCTTTGAGGAGCAAGACCCAGGACAACCTTCCGAGGCCTGCCCATCCTCAACCTTCCTGGGTACCAGGGAGCGGAAGGGATGCCGGCATGCAGGCCAGGCCGAGGGAGAGGCTTAGCTCGCTGGACCAGCCCCGCTGGGCTCGGGGAGCACGTCCCATCGCAGAGCAGGGACCCCCACATGGACAAGGCTGGGCATCCTAGGGGAGCTTCCATTGTCACCTGCAAGGGAAAGCAGAGGCTGTGCGAGGTGGTACCGTGTCCCCCAAGCAAGGGCCTGGGAGCTCACCGAGTGTGGCTCAAGTCCTCCTCGGCCAACCTCAGCCCTGTGACTGTGAACAAGTTACTTCACTTCTCCCAGCCTCAACTTCCCCATCTAAAAATCTGGATAGCGTAAAACGGCTGGGAGGGCGGAACTAAGCGATTTGTGGAAAGCTGCCGCGGTGGGACCTGGACATACCTACGCAGCAGCGATGTGACGTGAGTGACACCCGCCTGCAGGTGCGAGCTGGCGCTCGGGGCCCTGGCCCCACGCGGGGTCTGTCGGATGGTACAGAGAAGTTTGAAAGGATTCGTAACCAGTGCCAAGGAGCGTAGCGTTTTATTCCTTTTATAAATATTTGTTGAGCACCAGCCACAGCCCAGGCACTGTGTTGGGCTCAGTGACAAGGTGCGTGAGCCCTGACCTAAGGAATGGGGACGTCAGGTCAGGCTGTGGGGTGGCGGGACACATGCGTAAGGAGAGGAGAGGACACAGGTGCTGTGCGGTGGCAGGAGCGTGCTGAGCTGAGAGCAAGTGGGAAGTGGGAACTGGAAAAAAGCCCCGCGGAGTGTTGATGCTAACTGAGGAGTCTGCATTGTAGTCTGTAAGGGATGGAGAGAAATCGGCAGTTTGAGATCAGAAGTCTTTATTATTGTCATCACCGTTAGTGTTACAGCTAATATTTATTGAACATTTTCTATGTACCGGGGACCATGCCAAATACTCTAGATACATTAATCTTTAGGACTCTGTGAGGGTGGGTATCGTTGCCCCCATGTTACAGATGAGTAAACTGAGGCATAGAAGGACTAAACAAATTTCCCCTTGCTTCGTCGTCAACAAGTGCTAGAAGTGAGACTTGACCCTGAACGGTCTGACTCCAGGGGTGGCTCTCTTTTAACCGCTGAACCGCTGCATTATACACAGAAGACCTCAAGAGGGTTGTCGACGAGGTGAAATGGAAGCAGGAGCCATCGGAGACATCTGGCTGGGAGAAGGTGGCTGTCAACCAGGAATAAATCAAAGTTTGGGCTCTAGAAAATACAGAACAAAAGAGATCAGAGTGGGGAGTCCTCCTGGAAGAGGAGACTTCTGGGCCAGGCAGTACCTGGTGTCATTAGCTACTCTCTATCTCAGGGCCCCTCCCTCTTCCCCGGGTGGGGGTGTCAGAGCACGGCCTAGTTAGTCCCCATGGCGTCCGTGGCCCCCACTCTGATCTGGAGAAAGGCAGGACAAGCACAACTTGGAGCATTTGCCCCGTTCTAGAACACATGCCCTGGGGGTGACCTGGCTACAGGACGGCTCACATGCGAGGCATGGCCAGTCCCGGAGCAGCCCCACCACTGTTGGATAGAAGGTGGCAGGGGAGGAGGGGACGGTTAAACACCTCACCGACCTGTTCCTTGGGCAGGATAACTCTCAGGTGTTCTCTAAACCATCTCCCAGAGTTCCCAGCAAGTCTGAGTCCCGATTGCCCACCGTGGTGACCGGTACTGGCCACCTTCCTTCCCTCCCCCAGCCTCTGGGGATCTCTTTGCACAGAATCCACTTGCATTCAAATCCTCATCTTAGAACCTGCTCTGGCCTAAGACCGAGGGGCTTCCCTGGGGGCCGCCACTCACCCCACTTTGGGCATGAGGCACCCCTGGCCCTAACTGGGGCCCGCCATACTAAGCACTTTGTGGGGACTTTTTTTTTGTCCCTCTTTCAGTCATGCAGGGAAAATAGAAACACAAGTTCAGTCTGCGGCAGCAGGCTCCTAACCCCCGGGCGGCCGACCTCCTGCACGACCCACTCCGCCCTTCCCTGGCGCGGGGAGCTGTCCCTTTATCTCCGCTATCTGCACCCAGATCTAGCCGTGTTGTTATTGCCAGCGACTTCAAATCCTTTCTGGAAGTAGGTGGGGGTATAAATAAATAACAGCAGCCACCACACATTCTCTGCAAGCTCTTAGTTCCGAGTCAACAATTTTTAAAAAGAGCTTTTTTTAGATAGGCAGTTGCTTCCACTGCAAGAGGCTTCCTGTCATCCTCACCAGCCTGGCGTCCCTGTCAGATGCCTTTGGAATAAGTGGGAGGAGAGGAATAAAAAAAAAAAATAAAGGCAGCCAGACGCCCACTACAGATCTTTGAAAGAGTAGTTCCTTTTTCTTCCCTAATTAGGGTAGATGCGGGGCAAGTGGTCAGGTCCCAGAGGGCGGCAGGAGAGGGTAGAGGAGACAGAAACTCACGCCCGCCTCCCTCCGCCTCAGGCCTGGGCCGGGCGCTCACCTCCAAGCCTCGGAGCCAGTACCCCTGGGACGGTGTCTAACCAGTGACCTTCCCTCCCACAAAAGTGGGGATGAATTCCACGTGGCAAGCATGAAAGCAGGAACATCGCTATTTATAGATGGGCTCTGCAAAACGGAACCAGGAATGAACCAGAGGAAGCGTCCTAGCTCCGAGGATGTGTACTCTGCTTCCTTAGATCAAACCAGGGGTCCTCAAACTTTTTAAACAGGGGGCCAGTTCACTGTCCTTCAGCCCATTGGAGAGTGTGGCGCACATTCCACACATGCACACTGTGGGCCCGGGGACGAGTCGGCTGCTAAGCAGGACAGGCAGCAGTGGCAAAAACACTCAGTGGGCTGGATAAATGTCCTCGACGGGCCGCAGTTTGAGGACGCCTGGATCAAACCCTAGCAATGGTGACATCTGGGCTCTAGGGGCCTCATAAACCCAGGTTCAAATCTTACCTCTGCACCTTAGGAGTTGCATGTCTTTGGAAAGTTGCATCCTCCTTTGCGCCTTCACCTGTATAGGGAATTTTAATGTACCTGCCTCATACCTGGAAGGTGCAATGGGAGAAATATGTCAGAGCCCTTTGCACAGTTTCTGGCACAGAAGAAATGTGCAGAATGGGCAGGTCTCCTCCTCTT